GCACCCGCCGGGTACAGCTGCGCTGGGCTCTCCCAGCTGCTCATTAACGGTGGGGTCTCCCAGCTGCTCATTAACTCTGTAATTAGCGAGCACCTGCCCCGCCCGTCCTTGTAAGGAAGGGGCCACAGGTGTGGGGTCTGTGCCCAGCTCCAGAACGCTCGGCAGGGACGGGGTGCAGGACAGGGGACAAGGAGTGTCCAGAGCAGATTGTAGGTGCCTTACCTGCAGCAGCCCGATGCAGAGTAAAAACAAATGCAACAAGGAACCACTGAGCCAGTCTGGGCACATTCAGGCTGCACAAAAGCCTGCAGGGAAGAGGGTTGAAATTCTGGACTCACTTGCCTCAAATTTTTGTTAGATGTTGTTTTATTCTGATTTCTACTCAAGGATATCAGACCCGGTGTGTCTGATAACAAGAAAGATTTCACTGGTATACAATATTCATATCATATATGCCATAAATAGAATCATGAGTGCAGTGCTGTGGTATTCTCTGAAGAGAATATATACAAAAGTGCTGTTAAAAATCCAATGCCTTTCCTGTATTGTTTCTGTAGCTAGAGAGGTACCTCAGGATTAACAGATTATCAGTGCATTAGCATTCATATCCTGGATAAAGTGTCTCTGGTCATTTGCATGGGCACAGACTGGTAACTTGAAGGCTCTGTGCAATTGGATGCTAAATAATATTCAGAGGAAATTGAATTAGACAGGAGGGAAGAGAAATGTGACTGCCATTAAATCTCTAAAGTACATTCCTGGTTTATTCCCTTCCCCCCCCCCGAGAATAATATAGCATTCAATTTTCCAATTATATAAATACATGAACAGTGGATTACTAGAGGCAGATAATTGAATATTTTGACTATTCTACAAGGGACCTTTCATATTTGAAGTGGGAGATGAATAGAGCATGCAGCATCAGCCTGTGGATGCACGAGCTATAAAAACCTCTATTAGATCCAGAGAGTATAAAGGTCTCCCATAGAGAGAGAGATCTTATCAGTGTTCAATATACAATAGTTAATTTATTCCACTGATATCAGGGTGAGCTCTACAATTGCAAAACCGGGATATTTCAGGCCACACATCGTAGTACTTCAAAGGTGCAGGGAAAGGCATTCGCAGTCATAGCATTTCAAATCCGACTCCTCTGTAACTCTGTCTTTACAGGACATCAATCATGAGATGAGAGGAACTGTAAGCTATTTTCCAGTAACACACTGCCAATCGCAAGACAAATGTCAGATGTCACAAAAGGAGAAGTAACCATTTTTCAACCTGTGAATGTCTTCAAATATATTACAATGAAAGTGTGAAAAAAATGACCCTTTCAGCTTCGTTTGTTCTGACAGGTGCCAGACTTTGGAGTTCTGCATTTTATCTTCATACTGCAATAATCTTTATGACATTTGAACAAGGCTGAGGGCAGTGGCATTAGTTAGTCTACAATTGTCCTCTTATGTACAATACATAAAATTTCAAAGTCTGGCTGTGGAACTAAAAAAGATCATCTACTACTATTTTATTTGTGTTACAGAAAAAGGTAAGGAGAAGGGATGCCCACATCTGAGATTAACACATGCTGGGGACTAGTTTTGTGTGGGCTCAGCCTGACTCCTGCATTGCATTGCCATGCTGCTATTGCCAGTTGGGAAAAACACATGCTGCTTAAAACTGAAATCAGGAAAAAGCTCTACAAACATTCCCTGAAGTGAAAACTCACTTGATGCACCATGTGTGCATTTAGTCCCTGACTTGAAACAGGTGGACTCCCCCTCAGTGACATATTTTGGGGGCACCAGCCACTGGAACATTTTGACATGGAGCTCAGGGAATGTTCTCCAACCCAAAGCTCAGTGCCCATCTTACAGCTTTGCCACTTCTGATACCATGGAGGACACTAAAACATAAGCCAAGTCATTAACATTAAAAGAGCAGAACAAAGGAGGAAAATCAAGCTCAGATGTAGCCATTCATTATTGCAATAAATAATTTCACTCAACACCCCTGAAGTTCCAAGTTATTCCTGTCCTTCCAGCCAGTCTCATGTTCTGCTTAGCCCTCACAAGAAGTGTGAGATCATGGAAGTCATGGTTCATTTCCTGGATAATCAAACCCCTCTGTCCAATTCCAGCAGTACAGCCCAGCAGTTCTGACACAACATCCTTAGATCTAATTCGTACAGAGTCACACGGTTATTTAAGGAAAAAATTAAGAATATGAGCAAAGACACAAAGAAGATCTGCTCTAGATGTTCCTGCAGGTCTCAAGAGGGTAACAAGCATGCAAAAGACAAAAATTTAGCAAACCTAGAATACAATTAGTTTAGGCTAAAGTCAGTGACAAGGTTGGTTCCACTGGAATTTAGATGATCTCTTAGGCCTTTACACTGTACAGCTTTCTGCAGAAGCAGTGCTGAATCCCTGAAGACAAAACCACCAAATTTGATTCACCAAATTTGACTTAAGAAAGTAAATCTCTTTCTGTGAATAAGTGTGAGCTTATTGGTTCTGTGGAAGCAAAAGGATAAATAGTTTTAGTTCTTCTTTAAAAAACTAACAGTACTTGTCATGGCAAAGACCTGTACAAAGAAGTAGAAGCCAAAATATTATTTCAGTGCTTTAAGACTGACTTTAAAAAATAAGTACATAGATATTGACCAAATCTGTATTTATTCCAACACCTACAGTCCAAGCCATGGAAAGAAGAGAGTCAAGGCCTGAAGTCTGACCACAAGTGCAGTTTCAGATTTCAGTTCTCCAGTCCGGTATTTGTGACTGCAGTTCCTTCCTTGGTTGCTGTGACATGTCCTGTGCACACAAAGCAATGTAATTCCTCAGTCAGTGCAGGCAATCCCATGATGCTGGTTATCATCCCGTGTGGGTTGGTCCTTTTCCACACTCAGGATGAATGCAGTTTGTCACAGGATGTGCACAGTAAATCCCACAGAGAGGTGAGGAAATAGTCATTGCCAGAGTCATTATTTGAAAACGGGAGGTTGCAGTAGACTTTTTGAAAAGCATAAATAAAAAATACAGCTGAAAATAAATAATCGTCACTCTGAAATGGAGGGATTCCATCGCCAGTCTCTCCTCCAGCGGTACCCGTGCCTGGCCGGGGATTAACTGCCGGTCCTGTCGCGGCACATGAGCGCCCGTAGCTGGTGCGATGATTTCTGCAGCCGCAGCACCGGGGGGCCGTGGGGCCGGGCGGCGCCGGGGCCCGGCGCGGTGCCCGCCGCCCGCAGCGCCCCGCGGGGCTGGGCCAGCCCGCAGCCCCACACCAGGCGCTTCCCGTGCAGCGCGGCCAGGCGGCACTCGCACAGCTCCAGCAGCGACAGCACCTGCTTGTGCAGCGGCAGCGCCTTGTACTTCTTCTGGGCCAGGCAGAAGAAAGCTTCCACAAAGGCTTGCAGACACATTCCTGCAAGGAAAAGGTGCTCACGGGAGGCTGGAGTGCAGCATTTCTATTATTCCTCAGGGATAATACTGTCTCTGGTTTGTTGTGGCAGCAGGGCCCAGTGAGTGTGCGATGGGTGTGAACGCAAACAATCCTGCTCGTTCACATCTTTTCATTTAAATGGCAGCAATCTGGAATGCTCAGAAAGCAAAGAGATTGTCCTTCAAAGACCAAAAGCCAAGGTTTTATTTGTGTCACACTCACTGGGTGTTTCAGGGCAGGCTAAGCCCCAGGCTGGGTTACAGATGGGTGACATTCCCTATCGCTGAGGCAGATTCTGGCTTTGCAGACCTCAGCCTGCAATCCAGAGGCAAAGTGGTACAGCAAGAACCCATTTTAGGATATCACACCATTAAACTGATGTAATATTAGCCTTGATTTCTGCTGCCAAAATTATTAAGTTGAAACCAAATGAGACACACAGTAACATACTGAGCATCAAGGAAAACAATCCAGCTGGAGAGAAAAACAAGTTTTTGTCAGCAGCTGAATGGAGTCTTTTAGAGACAGATCTGACCCAAAAGTTCACACCAGAGTGTTATTTCAGTCTGTAGCACTAGGAAGGTAACCCCATTACCAAGTATCACCTTAGCAAGATATGAGTTTGTTTGAAGCACTACGTCCCTCCTACACAGCCTGTACCAGGTACAAACCCTTTTGAAGGTGAAGTCATACCCAGCAACTCCACAACAGTTGTTTCAGCTGAATGAAAAACAAACAGCTGAAGAGTGCAGTGCCAAAAAATGTCTCTGCTATAATAGAACTGCTCTACCCCTTCCCACACAACAGTCCCCTGCAGAAGCCCCTGTACTGCAGGGGAGACTCTTCAGCTGCTGTTCGATCACATCTCACTAATAGCACATTACCAGAGCCAAGGGGAAGAGGAGCTGAGTATTAACACTAATTATTGTATTTAAAACCTTGATGTAATACCTACACAAATTCTTAATTAAGAAGCCAGACCCCAATTGGTTGTGCAGAATGCCACAAGCTCTCCCAGTTTGAACATACACTTAAGAAGATTATTTTAGGACGAGATATTGAAAGGTTTGGGTTTTTAACTGTGTTGGCTTATTGATGCTGTAGGAAAGGCACCTTTTCAAAATATGACAATTACATTCTGAAGTATAATTTCTCTCAACCAAGGCTGCAGCTGGGGTCGTTTACGATCTTGGCTGCAGAGCAGCTTGCAAAGGAATTGTTGAGTTATCTGAAAGCAGCAGCTGCCAGCTCAGTAAATTATTTTATCAGTCACGGTGAGCTGCAGGCAGGGAAAGCACCTCTGGTAACACACACACTTTCTCCCCAGAAGTGACACTCGTGTGAAGCATATTATGGGAAAAGTTAGAAGCTGTTCTAGAACAACAGAATCATGCTTGTCTTGGTTACAGCTGGGAGTGGGCTGAACATGAAGCCAACAGAAACAGGTGGGCAGTTTGAACACCTAAAAAGCATCTGGTTCATTGACACCATACACAAATCTCTTCGTTTTTGAAAGCCTGAAGATTCAGTTGCAAACCTGTTATTTTTCCTGGTGAAATTCTAACAGCCAACCACATAAGTGATTTATATCCACCCTGAAATGCTAAATGCAAATGCTCAGATTTTATATAGCTGTGAAATTGAGGTGATCCTTACGTACCTAAAGTAATACTGCCCTGAAGGGTAACTGCCACAGCACCAACCAGGAGAATTGGTTGTGTATGTGCATGCCTCAGGTGTACATGGCTTCTTCCCATTTCTATCAATGTTTGAGGTGTACCTGAGCAACTAAAATTGAAAACAATAACCCCAAAAGTCAGATTTCATAGTTTTTGAATACAAACCTGGGCTACCTGATTCCTTGTGGTCAATGCCCATGCTGTTCCACCTCCTTGTGATATCAATATATAGGATATCTACAGCAGCCATTGAAAAATTGCTGTTACTCAGTTTGCAGTTTCTGTTAAAAAGAAACAAAATAAAGATGAGATTTTTATTACATCTGAACTCCCAAGTTAGGAAAAATTCTGCAAGGGCAACCTGCAGGAGGAAACTTTACCCATGTCATGTGTACAGAGCCACTGTAACGTGCTCAGTGTAATAAAACACACACAGCAGAGAGCAAACAAACCAGCATTCATTAAATGCTCCTATCTGAATGGAACAGGCCCAAACCCAGAATATTTCAATTAAAAATATGACCTGACTGTTACACAGAGCTTTCTCCCAGGGTATTGCCAGTACTCTGAGGCTGTAAGAGATGGAATTAATTGGTACCACAAATCTGCACAGACTATTTGCACGAGGCAGGGTTTGCACAGAGAAATACCCTTTTATTTGTTTGCCTGATCCTGTTTGGAAAGGGCTGGAGGAAGTTTTCAGGCACAGCCTTGCTCCTCCATGCCTGAACACCGACAGCATTTTCCCCTCATGGAGTGGAACCTGTGTGGAGAGCAGCCCTGGGTGCAGCTCTGGTGCAGAGCTGGCACTTTGTGTGTCCCAGTGTGCAGTGTGGTGCTGATCAGCCCTGGAACAGCCCCATTTCCAGAATTTCCAGATGTCTGGCAGCCTGGCTGCCACCACTGCCCGTGCCAAAGAGCTGGCCAAAATTTCTTGCCAGAAAAGAAACAAAAAAAAATTTTAAAAACCCACCTCAAACTCGGCCAATTGAAGTAAATCTCACTCTTTAGTAACCTCAACAGAGCTCCCTTAAAATAGAGTAAGGCCTTCCTAGATAGCCCAAAACCTCTCAGGCAGCATCCAAGCAAGGACTAGAAACAGCCAGCATTTCCCTTTTAGCTACTTGTATAGAATGAATAAAACATAAAAGGAAAACAGATTTTGATGAGCCAGAATTTGGGTGGACAGTCTTTGCAAGCACCTGCCCACACACGAAATCCCACTCATGTACCATTTTTTTCCTGAAAAGTGATACAACACACAGAAACCTGACCTCCCTTCTGAAATGAACAGCAATGACAGCTCTTCAAAAAAGGGCCTTAAAGCTGGCATAGATGCTCTGGGAGAAAATAAACAAAAATATCTGCCAGTATTAAAAAGTTTAATTTAACATGCATTAAGAAACTGAAAATGCTGTTTCATTGAGCTATGGCAATTTATCTGAATATTCTTGAAAGAAAATGTTGGCATTTATTCTGTGTTCCTCTGACAAGTGCCAAAATAAGGCTGGATAAAACTACAAAAAATACAGAACTGGATGCAATCCTGTGCTGGTCTGTGGATAGAGCAGATGCCTTCAGACATTTTCTATATATCATCATTTGTATAAACCAAGTTGTTTTATATTCATTCCTGAATGCTAAATGCATCTGCATAGAAACAGGATCTGTGCTTTAAGAGTACATCTGCTGCTGCTGCTCATTTCTTTTGTCATAGTCAATGAAAGACAGAAAATGAGGCATTTGTACCATGACTAGAACAGATATAGCCATAAAAAACAATGAAAAAACCCTCCCAAATAAAAAGTATGTGAAAAAATAAATTGAGTTCCTTGACATTGCAAGGTGCAATTTCACAATGCAAATCCTCCCTGCACGGTGCATCAGGAACTGGCATTTGGGAATCCTTCCTGCAGCCTGGGGCAGCCAGCAGTGCCCCCACAGCCGACAGAATCACATCAAGTGACCCAATTTCAGTTGTCACTTCCTCACAATGATATTTCCACCATTTACTGGGAACGCGACATGCTGATGAAGATGGCAAATTGTATCTGCCAAAGTATCACTGATCTGCTGTCAAATAAAGACCCAACTTCCTCCCAGACACACACTCATAGGTCAGCTATTCCAGGAGCTGGGATTGATGAAATGTTTTTGAGAACGGAGCAGGCACTGGCTCCACGTTGGAAGGCATCACCCAGCCTGCAAGCTGAGGATGCCCCTGCCAGGGCCACCTTCCCCACTGACCTTATGAAGGTGCGGAACCCCGTTGGGCCCAGCTTGGTGGTCCCTTTGACGCCGAGGAAGCGGATGAACAGCGCGGCCACCCTGTCCACGAGGCGCAGGTAGCTGAAGTGCCTGGCGTACTTGGGGAACACCTGCTTGAGGCACAGCGAGGGCAGCGCGGCCTCGGGGCTGGGGGCGGCGTCCGGCGGCTCCTCGCTGCCTCCCGGGGCCTGCTCGGGGCTCTGGCACCTGCACAACACACAGGGGTCAGCATGAGAGGGAGCTGAGCTCATCCTGCCACAGGGACACCTCAGCCTGGGAGGGAGCTCAGAACTCATCCTGCTACAGGGACACCTCAGCCTGAGAGGGAGCTCAGAGCTCATCCCACCCTGCCATGGGGACACCTCAGAGCTCAGCCCATCCTGCTACAGGGACACCTCAGCCTGAGAGGGAGCTCAGAGCCCATCCTGCCACGGGGACACCTCAGCCTGGGAGGGAGCTCAGAGCTCATCCTGCTACAGGGACACCTCAGCCTGGGAGTGAGCTCAGAGCCCATCCTGCTACAGGGACACCTCAGAGCTCAGCCCATCCTGCTACAGGGACACCTCAGCCTGGGAGGGAGCTCAGAGCCCATCCTGCCACAGGGACACCTCAGCCTGAGAGGGAGCTCAGAGCTCATCCTGCCATGGGGACACCTCAGCCTGAGAGGGAGCTCAGAGCTCATCCTGCCACAGGGGGACCTCAACCTGGGAGGGACCTGAGCTCAGCCCATCCTGCCCCTGCTACAGGGACACCTCAGAGCTCAGCCCACCCTGCCCCTGCCACAGGGACACCTCAGCCTGTGCCAGGGCTGGGCATGCCAGCCTCAGGGACTCACTGAGGGCTGCACTGGGGCTCTGGGGAAGGGACCAGGGATTCCCGATCTCCAGAGAACCCTGCCCAGCTTCCCTCCATTTGCTCCTCTGCCGTGGGATTTCCAACAGGCCAGGGGAGGAGAACAGAGCTGAGCCCCACTCTCTAAAGCTGCTCGTTAGAATTAATTGTTTTGACTGACACAGCTGAGTCAGGCAAATGAATGAAAGGTCAAATATAAGGTAATGCTTCTGTTGCCACACAGAAAAAAGCAAAGCTTCATTTACATACTAATGTCTGACCTCAATACATTCGTTTCTCTAATTCTGCAGCTTATGAAAGATCACTCTTTAGAAAAGATCAACTGTAGTGCAGCTTTAAAAAAATTTAAATTTTAATAAAGCTTATGGAAATGATATCTAAGACTACTTATCTTTTATACATGATTACTAATTTATTAATGTTTCCTCCATCTATGTTTTATTCCTTTCTTTCTGACCAGCCTTAATCTTTATGCAAATACAAGTTGCTAAGGGACAAACAAATTTGCAACTACTAATTAAAGGCTTCAAAATTTGCAGCATTTTGTACACTTGGATATAAAATTTAGCTGTCAAAATTCAGAGTAAAATGAGGTAAGAATCACATTATTAATATTTCTAAGAATGCTTACTTGATGTATTTTACATTTAGGGCATTGCTAGAAGTATAAATTAAGCAATTTCGGTATCAGCTTACAACTGCTTACCTAATAAAAGAAAATACTATGTTCTGGATTCTGAAGCTATAATTATTCCCTCAGCCGAGCCTCTATTCTCCAAGCAAGGACTATGTTAACACAGTTAAAAGCAGAGGATATTTTGCATGACAAATGTATCCATCCACCCATTTATCACCACAGAATATGGACCTCCCACAGAACAGGTAAGTGTTTGTACCTGGAGCGTGTAGGAAGGAAATCTATTTGTGTGCTCATTCACAGAAATAAATCATTTAGGAAACTAAGGCCAAGCCAGAGCACTGTCTCTGCATTATCAACCATTCATGAATTTGCTTTTATGAACTAATCCCATTATTTTATTAACAGAGACTTCCAGCACTCCCAGGATGTCATAGCAAGCAGTTTCATGGTTTGCCTGCATGTTGTGTGAGTAATCAGCTTTTGTTTTGTTCTGGCCACTCTGAGTGCCATTTGTAGAAAATGAATATTCATCCCCTCTTCACCCTCTGGCAAAGTGAAAAAACATCAATAGCACAAGAATTTCCACCTTTCAAAATAATAATAATATAGTTGCACAAAGATAGAAGTATTAAAAGAATGTTAAACCCACAGAGTAAGAGATTTTTGACATTATGGTGAAATAATTATGGCTCTTATATAGAGTTCATTCAACACTTTGGAGAATGCTTTGAGGCAGGCAGAGCAGCCCAGTAAAGAGTCCATATTTCAAAGAGCAGAATCAATCAAACATGAGGACTGATAATCACCACAGTGTTGGCACACAACGAACTTCTGATCACACCAAATACATTTTGAAAACACAGCAGCTGTCCTGTCTCTGGGAAGCAGAAAATGCTGAAAGCAGAATTTCCATCTCTCTCTGAGAGAAAAAACCCCAGTTTTTTACAGAAATAAATTGGGTAAATCACCTCAGTCAGATTTTGAAGCTCACCTGCAGCCCCCAGGCCTGACAGAGGTGTCCCTGCAGAAGGGTGAAGGGCACAGAGCACGCTGCTGCTTTTGGAGAGCTGGCAAACGCATTTTAGGTGAATCCACGGGTAAAATGTACTCCACAGCTTTGCCACTGGAGTAAGGAACCCAAAGTAATGGATGAGACTGTTGGAAAAGAGAAGGCCAAGCCCCTGCAGGCTGCCAGCAGCCATCCCAGCAGCTCTGGGCTCTCTGCTCTGTCCCCGGAGTGCTGTTTGTCTGCCACAGCCATCAGCCCCCTTTCTGAGAAGGATGGTTCACTGCCTCTTCAGACTGATGGATTTATTATAAAAATAAACACTTCTCATTAAAGATTAAATAGCTTTTGGCAGAAAACAGAAGACTGGAAAGTTTGCTGCCTTCACACAGTGTTAATGAGTGTTTCCAAGATGTAGAAACTTGGCAGGGATCCTGCTCTGCTCCGCACCAGGGACACAAAGCCAGGGATGAGAACATTACTGACATTTCCATTTCATATGCAGAGAAGTCTAGAGCTGTGGTTTGATCTCTATAGCCCTCCCTAATTCATAGTTTAAATAATTAAAGGAGAAATGCATCTGAGGAGTCTCAGGTGCTGAAAAAACCCAGCTATTTCCTAATTATTAATTGAGATTCTTTACTTCCAACTTTCTCCTCTTAAGAATAATGGTGGTATCATTCTGTATTCACTACAGATTTATTACTCCTAATCTAACTCAAGCAGTGAATGCTTATGTTATTACCTGTCAGCTATGAGTGCAGCAGAAAATATGGCATTACTGTAATGAAATAATGGATAAGCAATGCAAATCCTGCACCCAAAGACTTTGTTCCACTGCAGCAAAAATTATTACAGAACAAAGATCATTAAATATAGTCCCCAATACTTTATTTTCTGTGGAGGTAGCTGTTATTATTCCTAGTAGATTTATTTGTGTTCACTATTTGCTTTCAAGGTACTTATGTGCCTCATTATTTCTCCAGAGTTTCTTTTGTTTCTTTAGAAAAGTGTGCCTGAGAAATAATAATGCAGGATAGAGCAAAGGCAAAGCAGCTGTAAAGCCTGGGAGTACACTGAAATTAGACCACCAAGTGTCTTACATTAGAACAGAAAAAAAAAAAATAAAACCCCAGGATATTTCTTCCCATGTGGAAATTATTCTTAGAAAGCAGTTGTGCTTATGCTGGGACAGAAAAGGAGCTTTACCCTGCCAGCCAAGGGAGCAGAAAGCAGCACTGCAATTGCATTTTATCAGCCTTAATCCTCCTATTAAAGCAGGTGAATTCTCATACACAAAATAACACTCCTGATGATTACACTGCTATTAAGCCATGTGACTTCATGCTTTCATTTTGTGGCCACTGGGTGCTAGGCAGTTTTATTGCTTTCTCAGTGTTTCAGAGACTAGAGACCAATTATTACTTAAAAATAAGCCAATCATCTCTCTTGCTGAAAGATGACTTGCAGCAGAAGCTAAATTATAGAGAACATCACTGCCCCCAATACATTAATTTCTGTCACTCTGTCACTGTAAAATTTACAGCAGATATAATCTCTTTGAAGGGGGATCAAGTCATAGAAACTACAAGCCTAGTTTTAAATAGAATTTTAATTTTAATGAAAGCTTCAGGGAATGATGTTTATGCTGCTTATCTTTCATACCTGGTGATTAAGTTAATTTATACTTAATGGAAGAGGATATTTCTAATCCCCAGACAGGCTCAACATCTGTCTGTGACTATGTTTTTGGAAGCCTTAAGCTGCTTGTGATTGATGTAATAAAACCAGGATCCTGCAGAACTGACACCTGAAGGATATCTGTAAGAGGGAAAATGTTATTTTTCTGCTCAATGCCTCTGCTTAAGTCAAACCAAAATCCAAGCACTTAATATTGCTGTCCCTTAAAAACCTGCTTTGCACTCCCTCACCATTATTTGAGTATGAACAGGGCAATAAGCAAACAGTTCTCAAATATGTTTATGATCCAATGTTCACTCATCATGTGCAGTGCCTGAGACACGGAACTTTCTTATGGCCTGAAGCTAATGAGAATAATAAACCTCCTGCAAAAAAACCTGTGAAATAGTCTCCATTTTTCCTTCACTTCTCTTTCCATGTGTATTGAAAACCAAATGTTAGCAAAAATAAATGCTTGCATTTATCACATAATTATAACAGGGAAAAATGTCTTGAAATGTAAACACCTTGCCAGAAAAAGATAAAATTTTCAACTTTTTCCTAAGAAATCACAGTACTTTCAAAGGAAAAAAGACAGGTATTTCAGCTGTCATTTATATCCATGTTATTTTAAATTCTAATGCTTACAAGGAACCTGCATGTAAGGACTTTGCAGTGGTGTTCAGGGCTATAATCTGTGTGTGCACATCCATTTATTCCATTCACTGTCACCTCTCTGAGCCTGTGCTGGGGCCCAGGACTCCCTCTTTGTTCCTTCCCTGGTGAGGTGATGCACCTCAGCCTGCCCTTGCCTGATCAATTGGTTCTAACATCTTCCAGGCTGCATGAAATCTGATTTTTGAAATCAATTTGTTCATGGCTTGTGCCATTGCTGAGAGAACACAGAGTACACGCCACGACTCAGGAGTCACAGGAGGTCCTGGAGACCAGAACAAGGCATTCAAGGCTCCCCCAGATATTTTATACAAAACTCTCACAGCTGGTTGCAGTTTTAGTTACACATAACAC